CCCCCCCCCCCCCCCCCCGGGTGGCTGGCGTCCCTGTAGCCCTGACTGGGTGTCACCTGCTCTGTAGAGGCAGGTCCTGCAGCACCTCCACACAGTGCAGCTGCGGCTGCAGCCCCAGGAGGCTCCTGGCACTAAAGCCAGGCTCCAGGAGCTGCGTGTGGACCAGGACGAGGAGGAGGAGGAGGAGGACGGGGAAGGGGAGGAGGCCAGTGACACCATGGAGGCCAGCGAGGTGGAGCTCTCAGACAGCGGTGAGGCCTGAACGCTGCCAGTGGCCCTGGCGCTTTCTCCCCTTCGCCCGCTCAAGCGGGGCCCAGAGCTGCGGTTGGGAGGATGGGGCCTGATCACAAGTCGTGACAGGAGACAGCTCCGTGCAAGGAGGGTGGCCAGTGCGGTGAGGTGGGCAGAGAGGGGTGCACAGAGAGCCTGGGCAGCTTTGGGACTTCCCGGAGGGTGTGGTGATGGGAGCTGGTCGGTGTCCATGGGGGAGGCAGTGAAGGTGACCTGCGGAAAGGGCACCTTCGAGCACAGGACAGGTGAGAGTGGAGCTCAGCTCTTCCCGGAACACCGTGGTGTGGGTTTCCCTGGAGGCCAATGTGGTCAGCCTTGTGGCAGGTGGACACGAGGGACAGTCTGAGGTGGGCCTGGGCTGCACCATCTCAGGGCAGTGGGGGCAGGAAGGGAGGACGGTGCTAGGAGGAGTGGCTCAGTGTTGGATGTGAGAGGCTCTCGGCGAGTGTCCCGGGCAGGTGGGAGGTTTGGGCCTTGGCTGAGAGGGGCTGGCTGGGTGTTGCTGGGGCGGAGGTGCAGGGAGCCACGGGCAGGGTGTGGCAGGACCAGAGACAACTTCAGGCAGAGCTGTTCAGACCGTCACCAGTCACCTGGTCGCCGTGAGGAAAGACCAGAAGGGGCCGGAGGCAGGAGCAGAGTGAAGGGGGGAGGGGTGCAGGGCGCTGGGGCGGAGGCCACAGTGCACAGGGAGAGGGAGCCTGGCTCAAGGACAAACTGTTGTTTGTCTGTTTGTTTTAAGGACAAGCTGTCTTTAATGTGAATGTGACTTGTCCTAACAAGGCTGTTTCTCAGTGGAGGGAGGACACACCACAGCATGGGGGCTGGGTGGGGGCGAGAGGGCTGGGTGGGGTGGGCTTGCTCACCGGTGCCCGCTCGGCTGTCACAGAGGGCGAGAGCCAGTCCCAGGACCTGGAGGAGGAGGAGGAGCTGCGGGGCTGCCTGGGCCGGCAGCAGGTGAACAAGGTGAGGCCCATGGGGGGTGGGGGGTCCCTCTGGGGCTCACCAGCGTGGCCTGGTCCCCTCTGCTTCTGCCTGCCCCCAACACACATCTGTTCTGTGGTGCCTGTGCCCACAGTGGAACCGGCGCAACGATGTGGGGGAGACCCTGCTGCACCGAGCCTGCATCGAGGGCCAGCTGCGCCGTGTCCAGGACCTTGTGCGGCAGGTGGGCCTGCGACCGTCCCTCCACCCTGTGGGTGCAGCAGGGACTCTTGGGGGTCCACTACCTGCCCCGAGGGGAGGGGAGGCAGCACCGCGCAGTCCCTCCGGGTGGCGCTCTGCCTCGTGTGGGAACCGGCCAGGCCAGGCTGCTGATGGACCGTGGGACCCGCTCTGGTGGGACCCGGGCCCTGGCCCTCCTCAGGCCTCAGCCCTGAGGGAAGGCCAGGCTGTGGGCACTTGGGGTCAGGCTCCTTCCCATCCTTGGTCACAGGGTCACCCCCTGAGCCCTCGGGACTACTGTGGTTGGACACCCTTGCACGAGGCCTGCAACTACGGGCATCTGGGTGAGCGTGGGCCAGGGGTCTGTCACACACAGAGGGGTCCGAGCAGGGTGCTGGAAGTTGGCTCACGTTCCCCGTCCCACAGACATCGTCCGCTTCCTGCTGGACCACGGGGCCGCCGTGGACGACCCGGGCGGCCAGGGCTGCGAGGGCATCACTCCCCTGCACGATGCTCTCAACTGCGGCCACTTTGAGGTGGCTGAGCTGCTCATTGAACGGGGGGCGTCGGTCACCCTCCGCACCAGGAAGGTGAGTGGGGACCAGGGCCAGGTGGGCACGGCCATGGAGGTGGGTCTGTTCCCTCCGGCCCTGCTCAGCTGGGTGCCACACAGGGCCACAGCCCGCTGGAGACGCTGCAGCAGTGGCTGAGGCTGTACCACCGGGACCTGGACCGCGAGACACGAGAGAAGGCTGGCGCCATGGAGAGGAGGCTGAGGGAGGCCTCCTCGGGCCGAGGCAAGCAGGGACCCCCTGCCCGGGACGCCGCCCCCACCTGGAGTGCTTCCTGGGCCTCGGGCATTTTCACGTGGGTGGCAGGGATGTGCAGGGCCCACCTCACTGCAGACTCCATCTCCCCACAGCTCCCCACAGCCCCCTGGCTCCCCGGAGCCTCCCAAGTGACCATCTATTTGACCCTGAGACCTCTCCTTCCTCGAGCCCCTGCCCAGGGCTCCCAGAGGCCTCTCAGGCCAGTGCCAGGGTCTGCGAGGCACAGGCAGTGCCGGCTGTGGCCAGGCCGCGGAGGAGCAGGCACCAGCTGGCCAGCAGCAGCAGCTCGGAGGGTGAGGACAGTGGGGGCCCACCTGGAGCCCCCCAGAAGAGGCCTCGGCACTCCGCTCCAGCACAGCGAGCCGGGGCCTGCACGCTTGGCCGTGTCAACAATAGGAAGGTGGCAGCAGCTGGCCGGGCAGCCTACTGGGCAGCCATTCGAGGAGTGGGCAGTGCCCAGAGCTGCCGCCCCAAGCCTGGCCCACCTCGGGGCCCGGGTGAGGCCCCCACTCCCATGGCAGCGCTGATCCCTGAGGAGGAGTGTCTGGCCGGGGCCTGGCTGGAAGATGACTCGCTGCTGACCCAGGGCCGCCGCCCACCCCACCCCCAGAGCCGTGGGTACAGGACCAGGCGCAGTGCCTCGGAGTCCAGCAGTGACGAGAGTCCTGTCAGGCCACGGGCCCAGGCCAGGCAGAGCCAGCTGCCCCGTCTCAGGAGTTGGAGTGCCGCGGTCCGAGCAGGTGCAGACGGCAGCTCAGCCA